GCTGTCTGTCCCCCAGGGAGGAGGTCACACACAGTTCCATGCAATCGGTTCCCTCTTTCCTACCCATTCTCCCTTTACCCTCCCTGTTGATGGCAAATCTTTATGAGACAGAAAGCCACATCTTTTTCCTTTGGAGTGCCTGGTGGTTTTGAACTGCAGACCCAAGCATCCCGACACATAATCTACTAAGCCCCCGGGGTTTCTTTATAAATTATTAGAAAGGTTAAAATGCTAATGGTTACAATGTCAACAATATGCTCTGAAGTCAATTTTGACTTACTGTGACCACATGTGACCAAGTTACACGGACCCGTAGGGATGTCCAGGCTTGAACTTCTCCAGTAGCAGATTATTAGGTCTTTCTCCCACTGGACATGCTCGCCCATCTGTGCCACCAGTTTTTCTTGTAGAAAATCTAGAAGGAAGTCAAAGGAAGCTGTCCTCAAATCAATGCTCAGCCATAGCCACCCTCTCAGACAGGGTAGAACTGCCCTATAACACAGTAACTATTTCCGGGAGTAGAAAGCCCCAGCTTTCTCTCGGGGAGCAACTATTGCTTTTGAACTGCCAGTGTTGCAGCTTGCAGCGCAGAGCATAACCACTACACCACTACCGTTGGCTAGGAGTTGGTTGAACTAAGATACTACGTGAAGTACATGCCCCCACAGCCTGTTCTCTTGGCAGCTGGGCAGGGTCCCGAGAGAACAAATGGAAGCAAACTGAAGTGCTGCACTATCCCTTCCACCACATCCCATTGGTGAAAATGCACGATAAGATTGGCCCACATGGGAGGCCTAAGGTCTGCAAGGCTTTCAGTGGTGTGATCTTATAGAAGTAGATTGCCTGGCCTTTCTTCTGTGGCGGTGCTTCTGGGTGGATTCTAGCTGCCAGCCTTTTGGTTAATAGCAGAGTGCATTAGGGAGCCCTGGTGACCTAGTAGTTAGCCATTGAACTGTGATCCACTAGGTCAGCAGTACTAAACCACCAGGCAGCTATGCCTTGGGAGAAAGACGAGGCTCCCTGCTCCTGAAAAGAGCTACAGTCTTGGAAATACACAGGCGCAGTTTGACCCTGTCTAATTGGGTCAGAATCTGCTTGATGACACTGAGTTTGGTTTTGGGGGGAAGTATCAAACAATTACGTAACCTCTCAGGTCTCTGGCCCTTATCTGTACAGAAGCCTTGGTAACATAGTGGTTACAGGTTGGGCTGCTCCTTTGGTTAAAGATGGGGCTTTCTCCTCCCATAAACAGGTATGGTTTCAGAAACTCATAAGGGCAGTTCCACCCTGTCCTATATGGTTGCTATGAGGCAGCATCAACTTGACCGCAATGAGTGAATATGCAGTGAATAAGAGTCCCTGGGTGGGGCAAGCAATTGAATACTCATTTGTTTACGGAAAGGTTAGAGGTTTGAGTCTGCCCACTGGTGCTGCAGAAGAAAGACCTGGTGATCTACCTCTGAAAACTCTGTGGAATACAGAGGCGGGGGGTGGGGGTGGGGGGGCACCAGGAGTCAGAGTGGACTCAACCCCAGGAATCCAATGTAAAAGACAAAAGAACCAGGGCGCGGAAATAAATTGGGAGTCAAGGAAGAGGTATTCTTGGTCACTTGCAGGGATGACAGGGAAGAGAAAAAGAAAAGAAATCATTTTAAAATTATGACACTAAATCGTATCTACTGGATACATCCACGGGGCCAGAACTTTTGGTTTCTGCTTTGAAGAGTGAAAAGGCCAGTTCCCGGTATAAGCCACAGGCGGCTCTTCCCCAACCCTTCTGTAACCAGAAGCCATGCTTCATTTGTTAGAGTTCTTTGAGGATGGAAATCACTCATGGAGAGAGACGAACAGGGGATGCTATTTTGACTTTCACAAAGCATTGGCAAGCTTTTCAGCCAAAAGCTGTTTTTAAAAAATTGAGTCACCATGGGATTGGGGAGCAGTGTTTAGTCCTGGCTTCTTCTCTATAGCTTGCAGATACGAAAAAAGAAGAAAAAATTTTTCTCAAGTTAAAGCGGCACTTTTCTAAACAGCCTAAAAACTTCAAGTGGGGCATCGGGGATCACTTTCGGAAGGAAGCTGATGTTTTATTTGTAAATTATTTGGGAGAGAGAGTACAGGGCAAAATGGCTACAGGGGCAGAAGCCTTGGTGCTCTTCTGTGAGGACAAACTGCTTCCGGAAGACATCTGTGTTGACGGGCTGGCGATAGAAAGAGGCCGACAAGTCCCAGGAAATCTCTCTCTCGAGACAAATTCCTGAAGTTCCAGTCAGAAGATTTAAAATAGGTCTTACTTTTTCAAGCAGGAGAAAGATGAGGTGTTCAAGTCCCGTAAACTGTTACAGAACCCCCTGTCCTATGGGGTCATTATGAGTTGGTGTTGACCCCACGGCAGTGAGGACTTTCTGTTTGTTTGTTTGTTTGTTTGTTTTTCCCCTCCAACTGTGAATAGAATCTCTGCTTCCAGAATGCATCTATCAGGGCAGTGCCTGATGTGTAAAGAGACAGCATTATTATATGGACCCCAAAGACAGAGACAACACACCCCTTGCCAATTTAATGTTTTGCACCTATAGTGCCATCCCTCACATGTCATGTAACCGTTGTCAAAACCTGTTGCCCAATTTTCCATCACCATAAACAGAGTACCATCTGCTTCCTCCCTCCCCCTTCCCTCCTGCCTCCCACCTGTCCCTGGTAACCGCTGATAAACGTGAGTCTCAAAACATTTGCCTATTCTTGTTCTTTCATTTAAGGAGGGTCCTCCGATCCTTGTCCTTTGGTTGTCTGACTGTGCTCAGTATGAGCTTTTCGAGGTCCATCTGTGCTCTCGAATCTTAGCAGGATTTCATGTCTCTTGAGGGCTGAGTAATATTCTTCCTGAATTCATTTTTGAAGAGAAATAAACTGAACCTGGCAGGCCACCAATTTAGAAGACGGGCAGTAAGTTGTGCTCTTCAGCATTCTGATTGTAAAGGCTTGCCTTCTCAGGAGCTGGATTTAAATAATGAACACCAATAACTAGATCTATTGACCTCCCCTGCTGCCATGCATACTTTTCAAGGCATGGCCTTAATCTTGGCCCTGATGATAAAGATCCTGGCAGGGACAGCTCACAGAATCCTACGAGTATTTTCTGAGCTTGTGAAACTTTCAGTGATAAAGAGGTCAGGAGCGCTACCTTACCGATTTGAATGTGCAGCTGAGAATCATTAGCGAGGTGAGCAAACTGAAACCGCATTGTGAGGTGTTGTGTAAAGCTACAGGAGCTCTGGTGGGGGTAGCGGTTACACGTTGGGTTGATAACTAAAAGGCCGGATGTTTGAAGCCACCAGCTGCTCCTCAAGCAACAGATGAGGCTTTCTACTCCCATAAAGAGTTACGGTCTCAGAAAATCACAGTGGCAGTTCTACCCTGTCCCAGAGGGACCCTAAGAGTCAGCATGAAGCAGTGGGTTTGGGTTTAGCTTCGGTTTGGTGTAAAATTAAAGTAGCACCCATCCTTTATTGTCCCTCATAATTTGCGATTGCATGTATGAATTGATTCCATTCCAGGAGATTTATTTTCTGTCAAGAATCGTAGAAATAATCCTAAAATGTTCAGTGATCTTTGTGCAAGGATGTTCTTTGCAGTATTGTTTATATTCGCTAAGTAGTACAAGGAACCCAACTGTTTATCAGTCAACTTTCACCGCCACTCTTGATTTCAACTCCTAGCATTGGTAAGGGATAGTAAAAAAATTAACAAATCATGACGCAACCAGAGGAAAAAGAACAAAGCCTTAGAGTGTATTCTGACATGGACGTATGTCCAAATATGATAAACTGTTGCAACTCTATATGAATCATATGATTCCAGTTTTGGTTAAAGTTAAGTATTAGTATATGCATAAGAAAACCCCTAGGAGAGTATATATTAAATTGTTCACCCCAGTTTTTTTCTTGAATAGAAATAGGATAATGGGGGAAATTAGACTGTATACATTGTTTCTGTATTGTTTGAATTGTTTACAATGAGCATCATTATTTTTGTCTTTTTAAGCATATGAGTAAAAGAAACATGAACCCACCCTTAACCCTGAAAACCTTATAATTGTCCTTGCAAACAAATAGAAGAACAACACAAATTATATAAAGAGGGGGCAAAAGATGGGTGACTTCGACTATTCATGTAAGAAGGCAGTCTATTATCAGATCAGGAGAGACACCCCCCCAAAAAAGAAAACACACCAACCAACTATTAAAAAAAACAAAACACCTTTCTTCTTTGGTCATAGTGTTCTGGTATTTCTACATGGTGAAAGATAAAGAAATCAAATTTATTCTTTTTCTTCTTTGGCTTTGCTTTACAAGATGGGGACTAACTAATGCAGTGGTCTGGCATAGTGGTGTCCTGATCAACGATGGTGGCAGCCAACACCGCTTGGAATGTGCGTGGATAGGCATCCACCTGCGGGCCATCACTGTCTGGTTCCTTTTCTGCCCCGAATCCAAATGCAAGAGATTTGTTTGCTAGGCAATGCGTATGCTGCCCTTGTTTCTATCAGTCATGACAGGACAGTTTGGGCCCGGATTGAAGCTCTTCTTTCTCCTTCCATTGAGTAGAAAGCACCCTGAGGTTATGGTCATTTGTGTGTGCTTTACTGGCCATGATCCTGACCCTCCTCTAGATAAATCTTAACGCTACATTGTCATTGGGTCTTCTTCTAGACTCCCACTAACCTGAGAGCCCAATAAAGGCAGAGACCTTGCCTGTCTTGTTAAATATTGTATCACTGACATCTACCCAAACAATTATTTGAAAAGAACATTTGTTGGTTGTTAAATGATTGGTCTCGACTGCAAATAGAACCCAGCTGGCCTGGTCGATTTTTCCATCGTGGGGTCATGACATGGTTCAAAAGCTTGGGATCAGCCGGATCATCAAGGCCAAGTGCAGTCAACTTTTACTTTGCTTGGCACTCTCTTGTGACAAACTTTGTCTTTATCTTCACTTTCCAGATACAGCCAAAAGGCGGCAAGGAATGGAATGAAAAATCAGTTCAACCTGCATGAGCTGAAAATGAAGGGCCCTGAGCCAGTGGTCAGTCAGATTATTGACAAACTGAAGCACATTAACCAGGTAAGTGGTAATGCCTACAAAAATGACAGCGATTCTTTATACTAAAAAGGACATACGGTCCTCTCCTTTAATTCAATTTTTAAACACTCAGGACAATATTTTGCTGTTAAAGGATACATGGAAAATAATTTTCACGATCCCCCTACTCTCTACTGTTTTCCTTTTACCTGTTCTCTTCCAGGATATGCTTTCTGCTCCTGTTAAGAATTAGTCTCAGAAACTCACTGGGGCAGTTTACCCCTGTCCTAGAGGGTCGTTATGAGTTGCCGTAGATTTGATGGCAGTGAGTTTGGTTTTGGGTTTGTCTTCTCGTATTTACCCAGAAAAGCCCACTTGGACTCTATTCATAAGAATTAGTGTACATATGGTGGGCCCGACTCCTTAAGTGAACACTGTATTGGAAAGACATGTATGTTTGTTTCCACAAGTCTCCCTACTAATAATTTTTGTATCTACATAATATTCCATGAAGGATTCATCATCATTCCTTTCATCAGTGTGCTTTTACTGGATAGTCAGGTGACTTCCAAATTTTTTGCCATCATAATGAGAGCAACCTCTTCTTGGACAGTGCGTCCTCTTGAACTTAAGTCTTTAAAAAACAAGAAACAGTATTGGAGTTCTAGGTTAAATGATATGCACATTTTCATGCACATTTCCGAATGGCTTCCTACTGAGGATGCTTCCATGGTTGCTGCCCAGCACGGCAGAAGAGGAGCCACTGCCCTGCACCCTGGCCCCTTTTTGATTTGCTGACCTGTCCAGAGACTCCCAGCGAGCCCCTCTCACTGTCGTCGTAGTTTCTCCTCCCTACGACGGTTTAGCAACAAAGACACACATAGAAGGGAGTTGTAGCATCTGCTGGGATTGCTTTGTGGTGACAATAAAAAACTGGCTGAGTGGTCCATGGATGAAGAGGGCTCTGGGACCACTGACTCCTATCTGTCTGCTAGGCTGAACTGAACAGCACTGAAATCCTTCTGGAAGGACAGAGCTTTCGCTAAGAAGACATTGGCACAGCTTCATGCGAAGTTCAGCCATGACCCTTTTGTGGTTTGTTTGTTTTTTTAAGGAAAATGTTTGGAAGGGCTTACTAATAGCAGTGTACTCGACTGCAGATTGCATTGTGAAGGTATTTACGACATGCTTGGGTGTAGTTCCTCCAGTGCTTAATAAAGTGCCCTGCGCTCAGTGAGCACTTAATAAACAGTTGACAGTGCAGCTGAGCCTAGGATAATGATGGCATTTACATAACAGATCATGCCTCACAAAGTTCTTTAAAGCATTGCTAGCTTATGGTGCCTTGGAAATGCATCTTGGAAAGCTACAGAGCACAAACAGTAAACTACGTACTGCTTCACTGAGACCACAGCCTGCTTCACCTGTGGACAATGGCAATTGGGGACTGTGCGGCTCCCAGTCATTTCAAATCAGACATGTCTGGGTGGCACCGTTCAACTGGCTAGACCCCAGCACCGGGGAAACCCAAATCCCAGAATCCCATCATGACACACCTAATCATCACGAGGACTGGTGTCAACTATTTGGCCACCAGACATTAAGGAGTACCTACTTTGTGCCCAGCCAGTTGTCAAGGGCTTGGGGGATTCAATGGTAGTCCAAGCTACCTTGTTTTCAGAACCGCCTTGGGCAGGAGGGTGTCATGCAAGCGTTCATTGAAAGTAGTTCAATAAAGAGATTTTGTGCAAAGCTCAAAGACAGACTCGGCCAGTGAGCTCTGTGGTGGTTTGCTTAGGCCTCTTGTGGGCGAGGACTTCAAGGAGGGGTCAGTGTCTAAATCAGCTAATAATAATGAATAGCGTTTGACTAGGTACAGATAAGCAAGAGAGTGGCAGTCATATTAAAGGCCAGACATAGATCTATGGATGGACACCACTTGGGAGTGGGACGAGGGTGGGGACTCAAAAAAAAAAAAAAAAGAGGAAGCAGTATCAGACATGGACTTCTGTAGGATCCAGCAGTTACCGCAAATATTTATAGCAAGCCCTTTTAGTAAACACCTTAGATACTTGACATTCACACTATGGGAGACTATGTGGTATAGTAGAAAGACTATGGGATTTGGATCCATATGGATTAGAACTGCATTCCAGGTCTTACTAGCTATATAGCATTCTACAAATCATTTAACCTCTCTGCACGTCTTAGAAGCCCTAGTGGCATTAAATGCTTTTACGTTAGGCTGCTAACTGCAAGGTCTGCAGTTCGAAACCACCAGCCACTCTGAAGGAGAAAAAATGAGACTTTCTACTCCTGTCAAGATTTGTGGTCTTTGTTAGCTCACAGGGCAGATCTTCTCTGTCCTGCGGGGTCTCTAGGAGTTGGAATCAACTCGGCAGTGAGTTTGAGTTTGGTTTGGTCTTGATGTGCTTCAGTTCTATGGTCTATACTAAAACCAAAACTTACTGCCAGCAGACCGACTGATTCTGCCTCCGAGCAATCCTATACAGAGTGGAACTGCTCCTTTAGGTTTCCAAGGCTGCAAATGTTGATGGGAGCTGTCAGTCTGACTTTTCTCCCAGGGAGTGAGTGGCTGGTGGGATTGCACTGACCATGCCCAACATATAGCTCACTCCACCAGCAGGGCACTTTATATAGAATTTTGAAAACCTCATGAAGATTATTGTGAGGATTAGAAATTTATTATACATGAGTCGGGTGTGGGGATGGCTTCCAAAAGTTTTTGAAAAGATTGGATGATCTTTCTATTGCATTTTTTTCACAAATATTTTTTCCCCTTGAACTTTGGAAGCCTCCTTGAATATGCTCATTTATGTATCTAAAATATGTATTACATATAGAAATCAGTGCATGTGCCTGGCAGGCACATCGTCCATTTCTATGACGTTGCTAGTATTCAGAATTTTCTCGCTAGGCAGGACTTGCGTTTGGAAGGAGAGCAGTACTCCAGTACTTTCTGCCCATCTACTTCTGCTCTTCACATCCCTAAGGTGTATACTCCTCTGATGCGTCCTCGCTCCTTTGTTCTCCCACCTTGTTTCTTTCTTTTCCTTTCCTCGAACTTCCACACACAAAAGCTGAAACCAGCTCGTTGGTAGAGTCTGTACCTGAAAGATCACCTTCTGGAACGTTTGGCGCATGATTCCTGGGGGTGGACATTTTCCGTTCTCTGACAAATACCATTGAGCAAACAGCGACTTCTCATTGATAGACCAGTTTTACCTGTTTGAGTTGAGTTGTTATAATTGATTGGACTCCAAATACTCCCACACTGCTGCTTTGCTCTCATCTATGTTGCAGAAGATGGCCCAAAGCACCCCCCCGCCCTTTTTTACTCCGAGACCTCAAAGAAAAGTCGTATTCTGGCCATGAGTCCATTTGAAAGGGAGACATTGTGGGGAAGTCTTAAAGAAAAATGTGATGATGATGATGTTGATAAAGATGATGATGGTAATACATTATATTTGTATCACATTTAGCCATATTTCAAAGCAATTACTTGTCCTAAATGTCTAAGAGCTTAGGAAAAAAGAAAATAATCCAACCACAAATTGTGCAAGATGTATTCGTGTCACAGATAACTGTTTTTCGAGAAGCGATTGCTACTGGTGGACATTACCTCATGTGCATTGCCCCCTGGGAGTAAAGTGATTAAATAATGTTTGTCCCTTTTTCAAAGCCAGGGAAACTGAGGCAGAGAGCCAGTAAAGGCTAGGTGGACATGCAGCCAGAACTAGTGAGTGCAGTTGAAAATCCAATCAATCTTCCAGATGTTGTTTCTATATACTGCCAAGTGTCTGGATTCATTGAATGCCTGCTGAAATGGACCTAATGTTCTGGCGATGGGGAGGTACAATCGAGTGAACTTATTCAAGTGCATACACAAGTCAGTAGTGAATTGGGAGCAGAACATTATTTTTCTAAGCCCTTCACTCTAGCAGGATGGTCATCCACATATGCCTATGAAGCAGAGATATTTCTCTCTGTGTGTGTGTGCATGTGTGTCCATCCAGACAGACTTCTCCTAGGCCACTTATAAGTACAAGGGAAGCCCCAAAGTATTGCAGCTGGGGTTCCAGTTAATACGTGCATGGGTTTATTCCTAACAAAACAGGTTTAAACATGTCTCCGTGATCAGAGATGATAGGTTGTAGATAAGTTCTCTCAGTAACACTTGCCTTAGTCACGTTAGAGCATTTAAAAAAAAGAAAGGCCTGCTGAAAACAATCTGAAAGGATGGACTAAGCAAGATCATTTCAGTTCAGAAAGTGATGGTGACCAATTTTCAAGGATTCCAATGTGATGCCAAGGATTTATCTTGATAAATATTCTCCAAGGACACAAGGGGGTATATTAGGAAGAAGTTTTCAGAAAACAGAAAACAAAATTGGTGATAAAAAAAGACAACAGGAAAGTTGAACTGAGGAATATTTTTCCATCACAATAAAGCACCTGTTCATTTGCAAAGGTCTCTGAGAATGTTGTTGGGACACCTAACCCTAGCCTCCCTACAACCTTATCTTGCCCCATTCAGAGTGCTTTGGTTTCCCCAAAATAAAGAACAACAACAAAACATTGAAAGGGGCACGATTTGAATCCCTCAAGGATGCTCAAATTGCCATTTCGACTTGATGCAAATTGAAGAGGGCAAAATGTTTCTGACGTGTCGAGACGTAGATGGAGGTTATATCAAGAAGCAATAACTTTAGGTTTAGACCATTTCATTTGACAGAGGGCTTGGTGCTTTGGTGGCCATACTTTTGGACTTGCCCTCCTATATCCCAAAATATCCCTTTACCTTCTTCCATGGAAAATTCTCAGCTGCCTCTTTTTCAGGTTTCGGTTGCTGTTGATAACACTGGAAATAATAGACTCCCTCAGGGAAAAAAAACGTTCTTTCCATATTGGCAGTCCCACGGTGTAACCTTGAAGTTCACAGTCAGACCCAGGCCCCTATCCTGGGAAGGCCTCCAGGTGTGAAGTGTCCTCCCCTCCTCCTGCAAGCCAGAGTTGACGTG